ATCAAATGATCTCCCTCCTCAATCATCTCCCCCTCCCTGCAATCAAATGATCTCCCCCCCTCCTCCTCCCATCAGCATCTCCTCACCTCACCTCCCCTGCCCTGTAGCGTGGCCGAGCTCCTTTCCGGTCCGCGACCCGGCGGGACTGACAGGAAGTGCACACTCAGTCCGGCCGGGTCGCGAACCGGAGAGGAGCTCGGCCACGCTACAGGGCAGGGGAGGTGAGGCACTGTGGCAGCCTCCTGAGTGCTCTCTATAGAGCGCTCAGGCGGCTGCAGAATTTAAAGGGCCGGCGATGGGGGCGCAGGGCGCCCCCTCCTATATGGCGCCCTAGGCGGCTGCCTAGTTCGCCTTATAGGAAGCGCTGGCCCTGGATGTAATTTAGCTTTATAAGGGACATGCCGTCCCCTCAGAATAAACATTCCTCAATGTTTCGCCTTATAGGAAGCGCTGGCCCTGGATGTAATTTAGCTTTATAAGGGACATGCCGTCCCCTCAGAATAAACATTCCTCAAGTTTTTCATTAACCCGAAACTTGTGTCTGGTGTGAATTACTTTAGGAGCGTGCACGCATTACTTCTTTAATTTGGCCGGGGGCAGATATGCAAGATAATCAATTACTGATTGATACCACATCACCCGCAATAAGAATTCTCCCCTTGATTCCATATCACCCACAATAAGAGGGTTGACTTTTTTTATTTATTACATATATTAATAATAATAACAGCCCCTGCCTCCCCCGCCTGCCTATTATGTAGCCCATAATACAGCCTATGTCTCCCCTAACACTGCAGCCCAACTCCCGATTACAAAAAAGCATATTCCCAGGAACTCCCTGTTGTTGATGTGTACAATAGATCATAACAGAGCTCCACAGCAATATACATCACAGTAATGTGACTTTAAACTGCAATAAATGTGTTTGTTTAGTCTGTGTGAATAACATACATTGTTCCTGTTTTAAATTACATTTTAGTTGTATAATTTGTTATTAGTAAGTCTCATAAAACTTTCTTGCACAGCTGCCCCTGGTCACACTTCCAGCTTCTCTAGTAAATTTAAAGTGTCCCTCTTTTTCCCTTTCACATGTTGGGAGGTATGAATATGGATCAATGTATTAAATAACAAATTGCTAAATGTAGACCATAAAGGCAGAGCTAGAATAATAGCTGGGCTAGAGACATTTTCTAAATCCTCATGCATGTGCCTGTATTTTTCAATTTGTTTTTTACGTCACTACAGTCTAGTGATTAGTGAAATAATCCCATTAGGTTATAATGTGTAATTTTTAAATGTACAATGATAGTGAAAAATGATGGCAGTTGTCCTTTTAGGATGTGACTCTGCAGAAGGTCATATAGGCTGTCACAGCCTGAATTAACTGATTATTCATGAGCTGCTCATATAGAGTTTTGATTGGTGTATGAATTAGCCAATCACAGAGCAGGAGATAATATAACATTAGCTACAGAAAGGAGGTCAATTTTGCTTTAAGATGACCAAACAGAACACTGGCTTTATGATGTCATAAACACGTGTAGAATACATCACACTGGAAGGTAAGATGTGATCATTCTGTGCTAAGGATCACTTTTGAGGAAATCTTAGTGGCTTTCCTCCTGCGATTCATATAGCTGTGGTAAAAGCAAAAAATTATATATCTAGGATGTCCTGGATTTGTTTACTATGGAAATGAAGAAAATGAATGTCAGCTCACAGAGGCCATAGAAGAAGCCTACTACCAACAGCAGCGCTCACTGGAGACTCTGCTTCAAGGGTTCAACAAGAGGCAAAGCAAAATGCTCTCATGTATCAAATCATTTCATTACATTACATGAGAATAAAAAAAAGGTTCTCGATACCCTGTCTATGGAGTCTGAGAAAATAAACATCTACTTTGAAAAAGTGCAGCGAATGTTGGAACAGAAAAAAAACAGCATCCACGCGGAGTTTGACAAGGCAAAACGTGACTTCATGCAAGCTTATGATCCAAGGATTAACAAAACAAACACTCTGCTTGCAGACGTGGACAATGTTCGCAAAAGTGCTGAAAATTTAAAGGTGAAATCAGACCCTCTCCGATTTCTCCAGAAAGTGCAGGAATGTAGGCAGAAGATCTGTGAGGTTAAGGAAGTGCCTATACCATTAGTTCCTAACCTGGCAGTTCCTAATTTGGCAGTCAGCCCTCGTATGCACAAAATTTCTTTGTCTAAATCTCCAAAGAGGAAGGCTAATCCTTGGTCACAAATCCTCCACCGTGTTCGCACTGTATCTGTTGTAATACTGCTTTTTTCTGTGGTGCTAGCAGCAGCTTCCTCTGGGTCCTTTGATATGATTGTCAATGAATATGTATATGCAGCTAGCTCCTTCCTGTCACATATCACTGGAAAGGCCATCAATTCTATTCCTGCTTGCTGGTGGCAGACGGCAGAAGAAATATTACACGTGACCAAAAGGTATTCGTCTAATGTGATGAGCTTTATAGAAAACCTGGCTGAATTTGCATCAAGATTGACAAAAGATCCTGAAAAACGATTGTTACTGGGCATGGAGTTAAAGAAGACCACTCCAGTTTCAACGACAGTTTCGCCAGTTGTCAAAATTAATAAGAAGCAAGTAAAGACATGGTCCACTTGTTCAGTGCATTTTGCAAATAGCAGTGATTATGGACCGGTGATTCCATGTAAGAGCTGGAGCTTAATAACTACAAGGCCTGCAAGCCATTTTTTGACCCTATACGAATATTTAAATCCAGTACGCTTATATCTGTCAAACGCCGTTGGAAAGGCAGTCTCACACATCTCTAGTTACTGGAAACTGATAGTAGAAAAAGTATTCTTTGTGAAGAAAAAGTGGCAGAGCTACATCACCACATTTATAGAAAGCGGCCGAAATAACCTATTCCTTTAGATGATAGAAATCGTGTGACCTTTGAGAAAAAATATATAATTTCCATAACTGATCTCCCAGGTTTAATTTAAGGTGCACATATGAACAAAGGAATGGGTCACAAATTTCTCAAACATATAGATCGGAACAAACCTTTTCTTTTCATGATTAATGTTCAAGGCTTTCAACTTTCATACAAAGCACCTTAATTAACAGCATTTGAAACTATCAACTTGCTAATGTTGGAGGTGCGGTTATACAAGAAATCACTTTTACGCAAACCTGTCTTATTTGCGGTCAATAAAATGGATCTTTTAAATGGTAAAGATCATTATCAAGACTTGCTAGAACAACTTGCATATCCTAATAAACATCAGCATTCATCGCCCGGTAACCTCAACCAATTGAATTCCAGTATATTCTTCCTGTCTCTGCTGAAACTGGTCAAGGTATAGAGGAGGCCTATATGTTGTATTTCAAAGTCTATTGATGAGCAGGCTGAATTGGAAATTTGAGAGTCTGCACAGGAGAAACTTCAGAGCCTTCAAAGTACGCCATCTGGAACTAGAAAAAAACAAACCAGCGATGTGTCCATAAGGCAAGGCATTAACCAATACTGATATCCTTTCAATGTGAAGTGCAGTTTAGGCACTTGTACTGTACACTGAATGTTTAATGAATCTTACAATAAAATGTTTTATAAAAATTTTTGAAAACCAGGCCTTTTCTGTTTAATCTATTTGAATTCCTACAATACACAAATAATTGTCCACTGTTGTCCCGACAAATAAAATATGTTATCTAGCATTAATCAACATGAATAACCATATATTGTAATTACTTACTGATCCTGCTAGTTATTTCATGGTGCATTTAGGATGACCCCTCTAAATTGTCCAAATATTCATACCAGAAGATCTTTGCTCTAAGGAAGACTCCGAGTGCACAGATCTTCTGGTATGAAAGGTTGGCCCCTTTGAATTCCTAACCTCAAGTCTTGTGGTCAACTTGGGTTGCATCCCTTCCCTCTTTAAGACACAAATCCTTTTATTCTCTGAAACTGATATGTTTAGAGCAGGCAGGGTTAACCCTAGAGGGACCTGGCACCCAGACCACTTCATTGAGCTGAAGTGGTCTGGGTGACTATAGTGTCCCTTTAATGTGTTGGGGGGAGGGGGGGGTTATTATTATTATTACTATTATTATTATTTATTTTTGCAGTCCATAGTATAACAAACAGGTTTGCAGAGATATTCCATTAAGGTATACATGACAATAAGATATTGTAGTTGGAACATAAAATGTCAGGATTACAGCACTTTTTACAATTAATGTAAAGCTGCATCAGATGCACAATTCTACTTTTTTTTTTTTTTTTTAACTGAGAGATACTAAGGTTTTAGCATAGAACTGTAGATATATAGTTGCATGAGATGACATCACTAGGTGAGTAGCATTCACCAATACAGATAATCCATTAGGGTCTCCTAATAGAGTGAGTATTAAGAACCCTTACTTCCAAATATGTATAACTTGCTAATGCACAGTACTGGCCCACAATTAGAGAAAATGTCACAGGGCATTAACTACATAGGGAAGACAAGAATCATAAGCTACAGGTCTATGTATACAGCCAATGGCGTAACTAGAAACCAATGGGCCCCGGTTTCGAAAAATTCCCTCAGGCCCCCCCATACATCTACCCTCCCCCCCCATACATTACCCCACACACATGCAGACAAACTGATACAAATGCACATACACATATACAGAGACACACACATACAAATTTTTGTGATCATTGATGATCAAAAGGGGATCCTTGGAACCCTCTAAAAGGTGTCGCCATTCCTTAAGTGCTAGTATAATGGCCAACAATTCCCTGTTGCCAATATCATAATTACGCTCAGCCGGATACAACTTTCTTAAAAAGTACCCACATGGATGCAAAGGAGTATCCAGACTCTCCCTCTGAGATAGAATAGCCCCCACCCTTGTTTCGGAGGCATCAACCTCCAGTATGAAGGGTTTGCTGGTGTCAGGATGTATCAATATGTCAGCAGAAGCAAACCTTTGTTTAAGGAGTTCAAAAGCTTCTCTAGCCTCCCTAGACTATATCATACAACTAGCCCCCTTACATGTCATATTGGTGATGGGGGCTATCACAGAAGAGAACCCTTTGACAAATCTCCTGTAATAATTAGAAAACCCAATACATCTTTGGATGGCTTTAGTCCATTCGGCAATGGCCAATGTAGAACAGTCTCTAGTTTGAGGGTCCACCTGAAACCAAGAGGCAGAAATATTATATCCCAAGAACTGTACCTCAGTCTGATCAAAGATGCATTTTTCAAGTGTGCAATAAAGTTTATTTTCAAGCAAGGTTTGCAGCACTTGTTTGACATGTTTGTGGTGAGTCTGAAGGTCATGGGAATAAATAAGTATATCGTCCAGGTATACTAGGACAAAAGAATAAATATAGTTTCTGAGTACATCGTTTATAAAATCCTGAAATACAGCCAGAGCATTGCATAACCCGAAGGGCATGACTTCCACTTCTAGTGTAAAATGCCGTTTTCCACTCATGATTCTCCTTAATCCTTACCAAATTGTATGCACTCCTGAGGTTGAGTTTGGTAAAGACTTTAGCACCCTGGAGTCTGTCAAACAATTCGGATATGAGGGGAATGGGATAGGCATTCTTTATGGTGATCTTGTTTAATGCCCTGTAATCAATGCATGGGCATCTTTCACCATCTTTTTTAGATACAAAAAAGAACCCTGCACCAGCGGGCGATGATTTACGTATGTGGCCCTTACTTAGGGAATCTATGATGTACTCTTCCATTACTCTACTCTCCTGTGGAGATAAGGCATACACTGCCCCCTTGGGTGGCATAGAGCCGGTTAGCAGATTTATGGAGCTGTCATAAGATCTGTGATGAGGTAGAATATCTGTCTGACTCTTACTGAATACCTCCTTAACCTCCCAGTATTGTATGGAAACTTCGGTGACCTGAGGCGTAGTAGTGAGTAAAGTAGCGAGGCCCACTTTTTTGGTAGTCTTTACCCCACTCCAGTATTTCTCCCTTTGCACAGTCAATATAAGGATTGTGCTTAATGATCCAAGGAAATCCTAATATGATGGGCCAGTAAGGGGAAGCAATTATCTGGAATATTATGTCTTCCTTGTGTAAAGCTCCAATGGAAATGTTAATAGGCAAGGTTTTGTGGGTAATCAAGGGTTGAGAGAGAGGTCTCCCGTCAATACCCTTAACAGCCAGAGGAGATGATCTCTCCTTAATAGGTATAGAATGTTTTTTGACAAATTTTACATCAATGAAGTTTCCTGCCACACCTGACTCCATCAGGGCTTTGCATGAAAAGTTATTTTTGTTACAATTAGCCGTAATATAAAGGAGAAATCTATTTTTGTTATTCCCAGAGGATGTATCCATCACACCTAAGACCTGTCCACTTAAGGTTCTTAGGTGCCAAAGTTTTCCAGATGTATGGGACAAGCACTCCTTATATGTCCTTTTCTACCGCAGTATAGACATAGAACCTCTTTTCACCTCTATAGTCTTTCTGCTTCTGACAGTCTAGTGACCCCCAACTGCATAGGTTCGGGTTCGGACTATAAATTGAGGTCAGGAACAACAGGTCTTGAGAAACGAGGTGCCAATTACATAGTCATATGTCTGTTTCTATTTCTGGTAGTTTCTCTGGTTCTAAGTCTGTTATCAATCTGCATGACAAATGTGATAAACTTGTTTAATCTCTTAGGTAGCAATTTCGTCCAAAATAGTCTCAGATAATCCTTTATTTAAATGCTGAGATTAACCCGCTATTAGTTCAATCCACTTCAGAATTTAAGCCAAGGTGCAAAATTCTATGGCATAATCTGAGATAGACCGGTTACCTTGTTTGAAATGCATAAGGGCAGTGGAAGTGTCATCCTCCCTGCCTAATGGTTTAAATGTTAATTTGAATCACACAAGAAATTCCTGGTAATTATATGCAATACTCCTATTACTCTCCCATAAATGATTCTCCCAAGCTAAGGCTTTACCTTTAAATTGGTTCACTAGGTAACCAATCTGAGCTCTATCCGAGGTAAAAGATCCCGGTGAGGCCTCAAAGTGGTACTTAACTTGATTCAGAAATCCCCGGCATTCTTGAATATTACCATCAAAATGCAGGGGAGGCGATAGGGAGATAGTAGGTGCCTTATGTACTATAGGCGGAGGTACTTTAGGCAGAGGTGACATAGTAGGAGAAACCTCAGGCTGTAGATGCGCTGTTCGAGTAAGGAGCGTCCTGAAGGCCTGGGCACACTGATCCATACAGTGATCATTCTCCTCTATCTTTCTCTCGCAAGCTGCTATGTGTTGACACAGTTCTGCAGGATCTATGGCCATGTTGTAATGTCAGGATTACTAGTTCATCCAGCACGCAGAACTGTATCACACCTAGGACTAAACGTAACGTCTTAAATCCGGCCTTAGAATGGCCGGATTTAACGTACCAAAGAATAGTCAGAATGCTTGCCGAGGTCGGGGACACAGAATTAGACACAACGATGAGGGAAAGCCAAAAGTCAGGGATACCAGAATACAGGGAAGTCAAAACGAAGCCAAAGTCAATAACCAAAAAAACAAACGCTCAGGAACACACTCTCAGACAACCACTAAGGGAAACCACGACAGGGCAAGGAGGAAAAGGCAAACGGGGTTTAAATAAGCCTCCTCAAGATCAGCTTGGCCATACCCAGCCTTTGACACCAGAAGAGACCTACATAAGTGCTGAAGTTCTGTATTGCAAGTTGGACTTTTATTTATCTTATTATCTTCAAGTTTTTAAATTTTGACTTTACTGCCATCATTTGGTCCCTTTCGATATGGGACAAGATCTGTGCATTGATGTTGGATATCTAAATGTGCAACCTATATTTTTACATCTTGTGAGTGGAATTTAAATAAAAGTGTTTCTTTTTAAGTACTTTCTGCACTATGTTGGTTTCTCCTTTCTTCCCTTACATGTACTAACACGGGAAGAGAAAGAAAGAGGGTCTTTTTTCTTAAAGATACCAATAAGAGCATGCTATCAATTTAACTCTTGTGAGTGCAAAACATTTTCCATTACTGTTTGGAGCCTACAGTATTACACTATTGCATTCTATTTTTTTTCTATTTTAGATTTTATTTTTATATATAGTTTTAATCATATTTTATTTTAGTTTTAGTCTTATTTTAGTCATCTCAATTGTTTTAGTTTTAGTAAAGTTTTAGTCGACTAACTCTCCAGTAGATTTTAGTTGACTAAATCTCCAGTAGATTTTAGTCAACTAAAATCTAATGGGTTTAGTTAAAGTCTCTTCAGTCTCTTTGGGGCTTAGCCCCAAATGTAAACATAGCAGTTTCTCTGAAACTGCTATGTTTACAGCAGGCAGGGTTAACCCTAGAGGGACCTGGCACCCAAACCTCTTCATTGAGCTGAAGTGGTCTGGGTGACTATAGTGTCCCTTTAATGGTTTATTATGTGTAATGTGTAAGACGATCTCTCTGTAAAGTACTCTCTGTGTCCAGCAGAGGGAGACAGTTATTATTTGCTTGTGTTTGTCAGTGTCCCTGCATTAGCTTATCACCTGGTCTGGGATAGAGACAGCTGCTAATTATCAATTGCTTTGCTGTTTCCAAGGTCTGCATTCTGATTCCAAAGAAGATAGAGAGAGCAGTGTTCTGGCATGTTTAATTATGCTAGAATAAATACTAATACAGGAAGTGGCTGTTATATTAGAAAACTTGATGTTCAGGTGAGTTCTGGCATAAAAATAACCCTCACCTTGAATAACATTGTAAAAAAAAAATGATATAATTATACAAATTATATTTTAAATATTAATAATTAATCCCTTAAGGATGGAGTAAATTGTACCGTTCTGTACAAATGTAAACAAAACCTGGAATTTGCGCTATATGTCTGTTCAGCCATTATTTACCTATTTCATATTACGTGCACTCACACTTATATCATTTGGTTCAAGAGAAACACGGCTTTCATTTAACATCAAATATTTATATATGGAACACAAATATGACTAAAATCTAAAAAAAAGTGTATAAAATTAAGATATTTTTTTTTTTTAGTTCTGTGTGGCATTTTAACTGTGTGCCATAATACTGTTGGCTTTTACTGCAATAAAATGCACATATTTGTATTCAGTGACATCTCATGAGTACAACAATCTCCCCATGCACAGGTTTTATGGTGTTTTGGAAAGTAACTGGGTTAAATATAGCACGTTACATTTTTTAGTTTATACAAATTGAAGTTTGCCGATTGATTATGTTGCCTTTGAGACCGTATGGCAGCCCAGGAATGAAAATTAACCCCATCATGGCATACCATTTGCAAATGGGGTATATTGAATAATTTTCAGTAGCCACTTAGTCACAAACCCTGGCCAAACTTCATATTTGTGTTTTGCATTTTTCACAAACAAGCTGCCTTTTTACTGATTATATAATCAACATTCTACATTTTACTGCTCTGAAACACTCATATTTGTGTTCAGCAATGTCTCACAAGTGCAACAGCACCCCTGATGTCCAGGTTTTACAGGGTTTTGGAAAGTTACAGGGTCAAATATAGAGCTTACACTGTTTTTACACATTAAAATGTGTCAGAATTTTCTGCTGGGACTATGTTGTCTTTGAAACCATATGGCAGCCCAGGAATGAAAATTAACCCCATCATGGCATAACATTTGAGCCATGGAGGCAGGACCAGCCGCGGCGAGCATGGTGCAGCATGGGAAAAGAGGTGCATAGAAATGCCTTTACCGTGCGATCGGAGGGGTGGTATCCTAAATAGTTAAACACTTTAGTGTCAGGAATACGTTTGTATTCTTGACACTATAGTGTTCCTAAAATTCAGACCTAAAAATGTATGTGCACTTTATAGATAAAAATGAAAATAAATATAAAAGTACACTAGATATAATAATTGCAAATGTTAGATCAAAAATCAACCAGGAATTACATTCCAGCAATGAACAAATGTTTATTAAAGGGACACTATAGTCACCAGAACAACTACGATTAATGTATTTGTTCTGGTGAGTATAATGGTTCCCTTCAGGCATTTTCATGTAAACACTGCCTTTTCAGAAAAAGGCAATGTTTACATTGCACCTCCAGTGGCCACTGCTTAGATGGCCACTGGAGGGGCTTCCTGGCTCAGGGCTGCACAGTAAGTAGCCCTGCCGTTCAGCGTCTCGACGCTCTGCATGAAGACGCTGAATTTTACTCATAGAAAGGCCTTGATTCAATGCATCTCTATGAGGAGTTCCTGATTGACCAAAACGGCGTTTGGCCCCTCCCCATGCCGATTTTAGCCATTCCGATGCTTTCCCTGTGGCTAAAAATCGGCCATTTTGATGATGTCAAAAAGGGGGTGTAGCCAGCATCGACAGACTTGCGCGGCGCTGGATAGAAGGTGAATTTTAAACTTTTATAAGGGGGGGGGCCTAAGGGCGGCAAGCCACCTAAATGACACCACGGACTTATGTTCAGCTGATGAAACGTAGTCTATGCGTTTTGTCTCTATTGAGAGACTTTATCAAGACACCCTACAGAGCATGCCCAAAGTCATTTATACCCTAGATGCAGAAGTCCGTTGAGCTCTTTGCCTTGGCCTTTTTTGAAGATACCGGATGCAGAACGTATCTCGTACTACCCCACGTGTCCGTTATCTTTCACTGTTTGACAGTGGCTGCAGTGGGGAATTAGAGGATCGATGTAGCTCCTTGCTTCTGGCATTTGACATCTATTGGTTCCATTCCCATCGGGACTCGGCCCTCTAAAACAGATACCGCCGAGGAGCCCCCCTGCTGTCAGGTACTTTTTGGGGAAAGTGCTTGAGGAAGTTTATTTTTTTATTATTATGCAAATACTTTATTTTTATATCTCTATAACTTACCAATATGTATATTTTGATATGCTTTCTATCTACCTTGTGCTTTTACTACTATCACACTTATTTAGTGTGCACCTTATTGGCCAAGATTATGTATGTAAAGGGCTCACACTATTATTTTTGCATTTAGGAATGAAACCCCCTTTCTTATAAACTTTTCATTTCAGGTGGTTACATGCTGCTTTATTATATTTGATACTGTAACAAGCCATTCTGGGAGGTTTATATTCTTATCCTTGTGGTTAGAATCAAGAAGAGGCTTTGATACATTGTTTTATTTTATACATTTGGTTCTAGTTCTCGAGATACAACAGCTGTTAAGAAACATTTGTTCATTGTTGGAATTTAATTCCTGCATTGATTTTTGATCTAACATTTGCAATAATTATATCTAGTGTACTTTTTATATGTATATATTTTTTTTTTATTTTCATCTGTGGAGCGCTCAAACATTTATCAGGTCTGAATTTTAGATATTTAGTCGCTCATCACTTCATGTTGCTGCCCAGCTTTCATAGAATTCTAGTTACCCTTTTTAGTTATTAGTTTTTATTCCTCACTATAGTGTTCCTCAAAATTTACACATAAAGAAGACTAGAACCAAACATTATGGGCATTTAGATAATGCAGATAATTAATGTACTCAGATGTTTTATGTGCAATCATTTTTTTTCACTTAGCTTTTTGTGGCCATGAGCATACTTTGTATTGTTACAATTAAAGTACCAATACTCACACATACACATGTAGACGCACTGACACACACTCTTGAGAGAGATAGAGTGGATCATTTCCAGCTGCTATGATACTGTCATAGTCAAGCTCTTCTTGCCCGATTTCCTCGCGAGCAGTTTAGTGATGCAAAGGCCATATATGATATCATATTCCGGCTCTGGGCATCACCGCAGGACCTGCGAAGGATAAAGGCGTGAAGATTACAGCTCCCTTGCTGCTTCCATTGCTCACAGCTGCCCACCTGTGGGGTCCTAATGTGGGCAGCTCTTGAACCCCCATGACAGGTGGAACAAAGGATGCCCATTTGCACTTGCACCCTTGTAGATCCAAAAGTGCACAAACAAGCATCGGTGCACTGTTGAACGGGCTGGCAAACACCCAGGCGCCAGAACGAAATTCCTAGTCGTCATGGGTTTGTCGAGCCCTGCTTTAGTGAATAACCCTGATAGATACCATTTCTGCATGGGCAATCAATGGAAGGGTATGCCTTTCAGAAACTTCTTCTGGTCTTAAGAGTCAGATCTTACCCACAAACCTATGTCGGCATGTTTGTAATCCTTACTGAAGCCACAGTTTTACACATCAGAATGGTTGAGTGGAGCTGCCGAATAAACTCTGTGTATCTGGCAGCCTTTCTCTATAAACTAATGAATAAACAGGCTAAATAATTGTGGGCCGGATTAGTGGAATTGATAACACCCCAGTACCACAGAATTTATATTTTGCGTCCCTAATTTTCTTTAACCCCTTAAGGACACATGACGTGTGACATGTCATGATTCCCTTTTATTCCAGAAGTTTGGTCCTTAAGGGGTTAAAAGACCACTCTAGGCACCCAGACCACTTCGGCTCAATGAAGTGGTCTGGGTGCCAGGACCCTCTAGTTTTAACCCTGCAGCTGAAAACATAGCATTTTTAGAGAAACTGCTATGTGTCACTGAGGGTTAATCCAGCCTCTAGTGGCTGTCTCACTGACAGCCACTAGAGGCCACTTCCATGATTCTCTCAGTGAAAATCACAGTGAGAAGACGCTGGACGTCCATAGAAAAGCATTGAGTAATGCTTTCCTATGGGCGGTTTGAATGCGCGTGCGACTCTTGTCGCGCATGCGCCTTCAGCTCTGACGTCAGTTCACCAGCGCTGGAGAAAGGGGCCCTGAGGGTGGTGGACCTAATGACCCTGTAGTGTCAGAAAAATTCGTTTTTTTTCCTGGCCCTATAGTGGTCATTTAAAAATCAGTCTTCCTCTATTGCCAAGTTACTTCCAGAATTACACATCTTGACTTTTCTAGTTTGTGTTTGGAAACTGCTCATACAAAAAAGGGACACAAAAACCTGTATTATTAATGCCATCAGTGCCCTATTTGCAGGTTTGTTTTAAGTCCCCAACCCCTCTTTTCAGTCCAAACAAAAAGTAAAGGCTTTACTTATCTTCATTCCAGCACTGAAACTCACTAGGTGCAGCCAGCCACTCCGCCTTCAGTGACGTAATCCACCTCTCTAGCCAATGGCCAAAATAGTGCGTACACACAGTGAAAGCCACACATTCATTCAAATGCTTAACATTGGAAAGGACTGAATTCAATTACTTTTCCTATTGGCTTTCGGTTCATGTGATCGAGTTTTATGATTATTTGGTCCTTTACACTAAAGAATGTCATTTGACAATATGAGTATATGCTATGTGAATGAAAGCATATACAGTGGGCCTCAGTTAAAATCATTTTCGGTTTACAAATGAAAATCTATTGAAAATAATGCCTCTGTTTACAAATTGTTTTCGTAATATAAAGCACGTTTCCCCAGGATGCATTGCACCTGGGAGGTTTATAGCACCGCCCCCTGCATCCTGGAGCCTGTGGGTAGCACGTGGCATCGAGTTTAGGAGCCATTCTGGAAATTGTTTGAAGTTGTTTTGGGACTTTTTGGTGCATTTCTCAAGCTGTGGAAAGATAGGGAGCTGAGCTTTGTCGTTTGCATGCCTTTTATTGTGTGTTCTGCATTGGGGGTTGGTTTCCATGCCAGCTCATATTGAATTTTTTTCTGACCTCCAGAACGGATTAATTTGTTTTCACTGCATTCCTATGGGAAACCGAGTTTCTGTTTACAAATTTTTAGCAATAAGAAACGTCCCGGAGAACGCATTAAATTTGTAAACTGAGGTCCCACTGTGCTTTAATATACTTAAAGACAAATATATTAGAAATTAAAATGTCAGGTTATTAACTACTAACCGGTTCTAAGAGCTACTTGCCGTGGCATGTGACTACTAGAAATGGACAGGGCAACCATACCCACAGCCATCCTCACCCCCAAACTCGCACACCATGATCTAAGAATCTGTTATCAGCACTGTGCAATTTGGCAGACTTACAGTACATCATGGAAAAACAAAGTTAAATAGTTTACTAGAGTTCCCCTCCTGTTCTGTCCCATATCCACCTCCCAGGTGTACCCAATAAGAATCGATGGGAACTGTGCTTGGTGCAGAATACACCCTGTCCTTTTGGCAAGTGCCAAGGTCACCATCTGACATAAGATGCAAGTGTCTAACAGACCATCTTTCATTCTGTACGATGAGACCTTGCATGATCGTAGCTCTGATCTTGGCTGGTAAGTTCTGTGTTTCAATGTTTAATGTGCTTCATCTTTGATGCATATGGAAACAATGAAGCAGGGGTCAGCATTATTTTAGGATCTGTGTACAGGGGTCCGAGAGTTTTCTCAGAATCTCTGGGAGGGATACAGTGTTTTTCATTAATAGTTCAAAAAATCCATTCTGTTGAGGATATTTTATTTATGTGTTAGCGTAATCTTTATTGTTGCTTTTTTTTTTTTCTTAAATACGAAAGTTGATGCTACTTTATGTCTGGAATTAAGGAGATTTTGTTGTCTGGTTGTCGGACATTGCATTGTTTTTGCAGAAAGCAATTACATTTTTTTTTTTTAAATCACTCTCACTAATCTAGTAAATGTTCAAGGAACACTATAGCGTTAGGAATACAAGATATCTTGTCTGCAGCCTTTGCAAGCCCTCTTCTACTAACCCTGCCCAAACTTTATGTGACTGTCTAATCACAGAATTCCCAATGCAGCTCAATGACAAGTCTTTGCAAGGCAGGTGCTCTGGGTAATTGCTGCCTCTTGAGTTCAGTGCAACAAAGCTAACCAAACCAGGAAGTAACAGGACATGTTATCGGATTGACAGACAGGGGGATGTAACTAGTATCATTTATAAAAGTGTAAATTTCTATTGAAAACTACACTTTTTCCAAAATGGAAAAAAATAGGAAACGATCCTCTCAAATAAAGCTTTTTAGCAATCTAAAGTGTTCTAGGGATCTGGATGATCTCTTTAATTCTAACAAACCTGTACAACATACTGAGCTAGTCTTGCCCAAACATGCTCACACTCTAAAGGACATAATAAAGGGCAATTTAACCAGTGATTGATTGATGTGTTCAGTTCAGTCACTTGAATAAATAGTTTTCAGTCCACTGATTCACTATAAATATTGTGGTTGCTTTGTCTTTAAGTTCCACAGACAATTCTAGTGTTGGTTCTTCTGTAGAAGGGGAGATAATTGCCTAAAAATCCCACATTATAAATGTAAAAAATTAAATTAAATACATGGTGCAAAAACTCCAGGCCATCAATATTTAGCAAAAAAGAGTGCAATCACTGGACCTTTTTTTTACTCTGTAAAGTGATTTTGTTGTTATTCCATTATACAGACAGTTCAGTTGACTTTTCAATCCTCTCACGGACTTTTGTTGAGGGTGTATGTGTGTGTGTGTGTGATCTCTCTCTCTCTCTCTCTCTCTCTCGATATCTCTCTCTCTCTCTCTCTCTCTCTCTGATATCTCGATCTCTCTCTCTCTCTCTCTCTTGATATCTCGATCTCTCTCTCCATAACTCGATATCTCTCTCTCTCGATATCTCTCTCTCTCTATATCTCGATCCCGATCTCTCTCTCTCTCTCGATCTCTCTCTCTCTCGATCTCTCTCTCTCTCGATCTCTCTCTCTCGATATCTCGATCTCTCTCTCTCTCTCTCTCTCTCTCTATATATATATAGATCTCTCTCTCTATATTGATCTATATATATATCTCTATATCAATCTCTCTCTATATATATATATCTCTCTCTCTATATTGATCTATCTATATATATCTCTCTCTATATATATATATTGATCTATATATATATTGTCAGTGGATTTCTTGTCAAATTTATTATTGTATAAATAATTTTTTTTTTTTTTTGCTAAGATGGCTTTAAGACAGAACACATTTTGTTAGGAAGAAATGTGATTTCTCTGCTTCTTTGTCTTTGCTCCTTCTCTCATTTATCTATAGAGTAATTCCCATGAGCTGTGCATTTATGTGTAAGACATGTGTTGAGGAAACATGGTGAATCCAGATAGCAGAGCAGCAGATTCAGAACCTTCGCCGAGAGAAAACAGTAACTGACCACAACAAAAAAAGCGATCCTTCTTATTTATTATGCCATTATATTCTGATTGGCTATCTCGAAATTAATAGAATAATAATAATAAAATATATATATAATTTATTACACATACATACACTCCTATGCCAGGGACATATTCACACTAATTACAGCACAATTACTGTAGTTCCTGTCACACATCAGGACAACTAGCTGTAAGAGGGTTCTCCTTCTCCCCCTTGTATCTCACTTGTCTGCAAAGAGCTCTATTTCCTTGGTACAGCCCACTGCGCCAAAATTGTTTAATTGGTGAGGAAGAGGCATATCTTAATACAGATTTATTTTAGAAATATTTGTGTTTGCAAGCCACGCTACATGATGAAATTGAATGCTCTTTAATGCAAGCCTGTACGTACTATGACAGGTATGCTTAAAAAACGGAAAAAAATCAGACTTGCCTTCAACATATATTACCTCTCCTTGGGACCAACTACAATGTGATTTATTAAACCCTCTGTTATAAAATATGTACTTTCTCACCACTAGATGGTGCTATATGTATTTTCATTTTTGAACCTTCAAGTCTATAGAAGTGCATTACTTGGGTAACCAGAATGTTTGCCTTTCGTGCATGATTTATGATTTGTTTATCCTAATTATACCGTCTGAACATTCAGTACAATAAATTAGTAATAATTTAGCAGTGGAGGTATGCTTCCTGGATAAATCTGATATTTCTATGTACAGTATATTGTCATATATATTATGTGTGTGTGTGTGTGTGTGTATATATATATTACACACACACACACACTTACAATCTCCTGTGTATGTATGTATATGTATATATTTTACACACACACCTACAATCTCCTGTGTATGTATGATGCACATTGATATATGGAAAGCAGAACATTTTCTGTACAATTTCAGTTATAATTGTTTTAATTGATATTAATTGGCTTGCTAAGTGTACATTAAGAATGTGATTTCTATTTTTTATTTTTTTTGGCACCCAATGCTCGTGTATAAGCACCTGTTCAGGATTTATGGAGCTAAGTCTTAAATGGATTGTTATTTCAACAGTTAATATTAATAAGGATTTTTCTGGATTAAAATTTAAAGGTACTAACCAGCCCCATAATTTACCACCTCCGACATGCCAAACCAGCATTTATGTAAATAAGGGGGGGGGGGGTGTATAAGTGAAGGTATGGAGGCATGCATTGTCAATGGTTTGTGTAAATTCAGGGGTGTATTTGAGCTCTTAATGTCACGTTCCACCCCTTTCTCTCTCCCTGTCATTTTTACCCACTCTTTCCCCTCTCCATGTCACTTGTACTCTTCCACATGACATGTAATTTGAAGTAGAAGCTGCTGGTGAGCCTCTGATTGCTATCTGAGCAGACAGAGCTTCCTATTCTATATTTGTTCCCACCAGGAATGGCTCTGGTTCTAGGGAACAGAAAGCTGCATTCAGAACAAAGGACAACTCCAGGCACCATAACAACTTTGTACTATAAAAACTATATTGTGATAAAGAGGTCCCAGGCGCTGGTTTACTTTAAGGTGTTTATTTTAACCACTAATAAACAGTTTCATCCCAAAGTACTTAAACTGGTATCCGAATCCCTTTGCCCCTGTATTTCCACTCAATGTCTTAAAATCATGAAGCCTCGGACTGGGCTCTGGATCCCATTGAGAAAAGAGAGTGAGAAAGATACCTAACTTTTTCCTCTCTCTGTTCAGAGGCACCTTGTCCGAGGCTTTCTGATTGAAGCCTCGGTCACTGAGCGTAAATACAAGGGCAGATCGATTCAGCGCCAGCTTGAAGATTTTGAAGTTAAACTGTTTATTAACCGTTTAACCCCTTCATGTAAGCTGGTACCTGGGCAATCCTCGCACCATAATAACTTCATTGAGATGAAAATCCGTATCAAGGTACTTGAACAGTTTAAAAAAAAAAAAAAAGCATTAATGTTCACACATGTTTAATACATTTCATCCCCTCCTCTCTCTTCTTCAGTCTGGGTGGTCTCTATCCAGTCACAGCCCAGAAATCTGCTGCAGTTCCACAGTATAATAAGATGTACTATACCTGGCAGCAAACCCATCTTGGATTATAACCAGTATGGATGCTATTGTGGGGTTGGAGGTTCTGGCACACCTGTGGATGATCTGGACATGTAAGTACTTTATAAAATAAAAACAAAACTGTGTTTGTACCAGGACTGGATCTAATCACGCTACATAAAACTGTAACTGTTAAACTAAATTATGTACGATGGTTTTAATATATAATTGAACTCTAAGATGTGGCATCTCTTAAGACAGGGTTATAACTCTTACTCTAATATGTATCTACCTTGTATAACTAGCACCAGTAAAGTTGTGCAAGTTACTTTGGGGGCAGGATAATGAATGATATAACAGCTTTGCCTGGAAATAATTTTAAGAGTTCTGTATCTAATGGTTGTCCTCTCTCTGGATGGCAGCTCACGTTCTAGGGCCGACTCGCAAGGAGTAGGTTTGTTACTAAGTTGGCTGCTCTAACACAAACATTTTGATTTTTTTTTTGTTGTTCATTAGTTATATCTAAAACAGCTTGCACAAACTGCAGATCTCAGCGTCTGCCTTTGCAAACCCTCCCCTCCTAACCCAGCCCAGACTTTCTGTGACTGCCCAATCACAGGCTTCCCAAATGCAGTTCAATGAGAAGTATTTGCAAGGCAATGTGCTCTGGGCAATTGCTGCCTTGAGTTCAGTACAACTAAACTAGCTAAGCAAGGAACTAACAGAACCTGTTGTCTGCTTGAAAGGCCAGGGGGTGTAAACAGTATTATTTATAAAAGTGTCAATTTTTATTGAAATTTGCACTTTTTCCAAAATGAAAAAATAAGACACACCCTTCACACATAAAGCTTTTCAGCATGCTAAAGTGCTTTTGGGGGCGAGAGTCCCTTTAATCTAAAGTTGTTTTGAGTCTTAGTGACCCCCTAAGAAGTATTTCTAATCATTATTTACCCACCTATAGGCTTCCTATGCATTCTAATCATAGGCTTGTGGATCTCGGCCAGTAAAGGCCATTTTGGGGACTGTCTAATCAACCATCTCTGTTATATTTTTTTTTTCCAACTTGTATTTTATTGAAAAGATTTCGGGTTGGGGTACAGAAGGGAGGAAGGGAAAGATGACATTCAAGTACAATTGTGTTCAGGTTGCTTGGGTAAACAAATTGTGGTTGCATATATACGTGCATTCAGTTACATTATGGTACATTGTTATGCAGTACAGTCTGTTGGTTCCTGTTATATTCTGTTGTGTTCTATCATATTCTGCTATGCACTATTATATTGTATGCCTGTTGAAGATCCTAGAATCTCCTGACTATCATTAGTCTATAATCGTTGGTATCAATACCATTTCAACCGCACGTATAACAGTTTTCTTGTATAGAACTACATTATTAGACGTTTGTGATGCTTGTGACGTTTATATTGACCGTCATGGATTCATTGGATTTCAAAAAAGTCATACATACCAGTGCATAAACCCCCCCCCCAAAAAAAAACCCATTAACATTAATTGTAATACTCCGAGGTCTTGCCTGCATTCCCCCTGAGGGCTACCCATTCTGTCCACCTTTGCCAATTAAGGAGTGTGGCATTAACCTGTTTAGGGGTGGTAGCTGTGAGCAATTCGTATGAAAGGTATTGTCGTATTTTGTGTTGTAACATTGTTGTGGAGGGGCATTCTGTTTTTTTCCAGTGGCACGCTATGAGGTTGCGAGTTGCCAGGATCATTAGCACTGTTAAGTGTTTGTCAGTGTATGGTATGGGACCAGGAAAGAGGAGAAAGAGAACCAGTTGGGGTGTAAGTGGCAGTTGTTTAATCGCCAGATTTTGCCATGTCTTGTGAGCTTCCGACCATAGTGGTGTGATATTCGCACATTCCCACCATATGTGGGTCATTGTGCCTTGGTCTCCCCCACATCTTCAGCAGTCAGCCGAGGTATGGGGGTATATTTTGTAAAGTTTGTCAGGTGTGTAGTACCACCTGTAGATTAATTTTTTATGGGCTTCGACATGTGAGTAGCATTTAGTGATGCCTTTTAGGGCTTGGAGCTTGTCTGTGAAGGACAGTGTCCATTCTTTCTCCCATTGTAATCAGTAATTGAACTCTGGGTTTGGTGCCTGGTTTCTTAGTGCTGTATAGCTTAATGAGAACATTTTAGGTCTGATCGGTGATTTGTGGCATCTATCATACATTAATAGTAAGTCTTGATTTGGGGTATATATGGGTGATGTTGAATGTGCCACCTTATTTGCTATTAAACTTTTTAATTGTAGATATGGGAAGATATAGGATGTCGGTAGCTTGTAAGTTTTTTGGAGTTCTGGAAAGGTTAATATGGCACCCTGGTAACATATATCAATAATACGGGTGACCCCTAGTTCCTTCCATTTATCCAGGGACAACCAAAGTGACACAGAATTTAGGGCTGTGATGGGTGCCCAGGGGTAGAATTTACTCTCTTTTACATGGGTACGGTGTAGGTGGTCACAGGTCCGTATCAGATATTTGGTAAGAGGGGTCGTACTCGTTTTCGAGATCTACCCATTGTAGTGTGTGGGTAGGGGCGTGTAGTTTTATCGCATTTTCTAGAACTGCTGCTTTGTGGTAGGTCGCTATTCTAGGGAATCCCAGTCCACCTTCATTGTTGGGCGTTTGTAAAAGAAGTAGTGGTATTCTGGGTTTCTTTTTTTCCTCCCATATGTAGTTTGTTATTGTTTGGATTTGTTTGCTTAGGGTGGGGGAGAGGGGTATTGGGAGCATTCATAACACATAGAGTAGCTTTGGGAGTACCATCATTTTCACGGTTGAAGGTGTTAATTCCTCTATATGTGGCAGCTATTTTCACCCTTTGGTACGTTAGGTGTGCCTGTCTCCAATCAAACGAGTATCGATTTTTGAGTGTTTGTACATATGTTGCAGGGAGACGTATGGGAAGTGCTTGGGTTTTGGCCTGATTTAGTTTGTATTAAGAAATTTAGCTGTATTCTTTTAAGGTGTTTATGTGGTGCCTTAAGGAGTGTTCTGGTTTCGTTATGTAGACAAGGACATCGTCCGCGAACATGGACAGTTTGTAGTCCGTGTTTTTTAGGGGAATTCCCGTGGTGTCTGTGTGGGTTCTAATCTTGTAGGCCAGAGGTTCAAGTGATAATACAAATAATAAGGGTGAAAGTGGGCAACCTTGGCATGTGCTGTTCGTAATGTGGAAGGGATTCAATATGAATCCTGCATTGGTGACTTTGGCAGATGGTTTTGAATACAGTGCCATTATGCCTCTTATGTATGCTCCAGGGAAACCAAATTTGAGAAGTACTTGTTCCATGTATTCCCAATTAAGCCTGTCAAAGGCCTTCTCCACGTCTAGCGCTAGTAGAAGGCCCTCTGTTCTGTGTGTCTCCATGTGGGCTAGGATATTTAGGGTCTTCCTCGTGTTATCTGACCCTTGTCTGTTTTTGATGAAGCCTGATTCATCATTATGCACTATGCGGGTTAGTATAATTTTAAGGCGATCAGCCAAATTTTTTGCATATATTTTTGTATCCCTATTGAGTAGAGAGATGGGTCTAAAATTCTGGCATAACGTCGCCGGTTTGCCTGGTTTCGGGAGTGTTGATATATGTGCCTGTAGCATATCTGTGGGCATCTCACCCTTAGTGTAGCAGTGGTTTAGGAGTTTGGAAAGGTATGGAGTTAACCATCTCTGTTATTTTAATGTGAGCGTTACAGTATGAGTGTGTATAATAAACTATGAGCTTACAACATTGGCATCAGGCTGAAAATAAACACACAAAAACAAAAATTGGAAAAAACGCCTCTGCAAGCACTCAAAATCCACAGGAGGTTTAATCTGCACAAAACAAAAAGTAACAGCGGGAAAGATCACATCACATAATGCTTTTAGGACCTACTAGAACATAGACTACTATGTTTAAGGATCTGCAGGTCTGAAATGTGCACTTTCCCCTTGTTTGTTACATTTTGGGATTTTGAGTGCTTGCAGTGGCTTTTTTTTCCCTATTTTCTGTATGTTTTATTACTGTATTTGGAGTTCCTAGTTCCTACGCCTGGTGACCTGTCTTCCATTCGGGTAAGTGGGACCTTTATGTTTCCATTACCTTTATGGTTTTTGTTTTACTCAGACTTATGCTATTTTTTCCCCCCGAAAATAAACAAACACCTAGACGATTCATGGTTGCAGGTAGACCAGGACTGGCCATTGGGCAAACCAGGCAAATGCCTGAGGCTGACAGAGGAGATAAAGGGACCCACGATCCTCACATTCCGAAGGGGAGGTGTCACGTGTTCATCCTCACCTTGTGGTGTCCGTGAGGATGACTACCTTTCTGGCATTGGTGGAGATGCTGATCAGTGGCCCTGTGCCGGTGTATCTGGCTCCAGCGGCATGTTGAAAGACGCCGGCCGCTGTGGATCCATATAAATTTGTAGCCCAACATCCACCCACATTATTGATGATGGCAACGTGCGTGTGACGTCACGCAAATAACGCGCACTAATGTTCTGGGGTGATAGGCCGGGTACGGCCAATCGAATTTAAAGGAGACTTATTTAAACTCCTTTCTTGCCTTTCTTCATTGCCCTGTCGTGGTCTCCCTTAGTGGTTGTCTGAGAGTGTGTTCCTGAGCGTTTATTTCTGGTTATTGACTTTGGCTTTTTTTTTACTTCCCTGTGTGCCTCTGTCTTCCCGAGGCCCCCCCCCGTGTGCCTCTGTCTTCCCCAGGCTCCCCGTGCCTCTGTCCTCCCCAGGCCCCCCTGTGTGCTCTGTCCTCCCAGGCCCCTGTGTGCCTGCCCTCCCCAGGCCCCTGTGTGCCTCTGCCCTCCCCAGACCCCCTGTGTGCCTCTGCCTCCCCAGGCCCCACCTGTGTGCCTCTGCCCTCCCCAGTTCCCCTGTGTGCCTCTGCCCTCCCCAGGCCCCTGTGTGCCTTTTTTTTCTTCCCCAGCCCCCTGTGTGTCTTTTTTTTCCCCACAGCCCTTCTGTGTGTCTTTTTTTTCTTCCCCACAGCCCTTCTGTGTGTCTTTTTTTGTCTTTTTTCTTCCCCACAGCCCTTCTGTGTGTCTTTTTTTTTCTTCCCCCACAGCCCTTCTGTGTGTCTTTTTTTTCTTCCCCCACAGCCCTTCTGTGTGTCTTTTTTTTTCTTCCCCCACAGCCCTTCTGTGTGTCTTTTTCTTCTCCCTAACCTTTCTGTGTGCCTTTTTATCTTTTTGTCCACCCTTAGCCCCCTGTGTATATTTTTGTCCCCCAAGACCCCTTGCAAATGTGTGTGCTTCCAACACACTGTGTGCCTCCCAGCTCACCTCACACTATGTAGCACGGCTGAGCCTCCACGGTGGAGGATCTTCTATTTCCTCTACCTGGTCTGACAGGAAGCTGTTCTGAGCTCTCAGTGAGCAGTTGCTGCCAGACCAGGTAGAGTATACAGAACATCCTCTAATGAGGCTCAGCCACGCTACATGCAGTGACAGGCAGGAGGGCTGTGCAGTGCGCTCCTCTCCTGCTCGTCACATGGACATTGCATGCCCTAGTGGTTGCGCCAACCATTACATACCCACTTTGGGAAGTGTACATGTCAATGCTGATGATAATGCTCTCTGGCCCAGCCCCCACCAGTATTGGATTGCTCTGCCTATTTTTGTCTGTCTAGTCCTGGTTGTAGGTACCTGGCAAACGTTTCAACTTTTAGTAGTGTATGTGTTTGAAAACAAAGTTTTGGACTGCACTTGTACATCCAGCATTAGCAGCAATAGATTTATAAATAGCACAACAAGAAATTTGTTCTTCACTAACATGGTCTATATGTCTTAATTATGTTACGTTTCATGGCCAAACATTTGCCCATCTGTTTCTTAACACTTTTTTTTGGCCTTCAACAAATGTTTTCTGTATATATCTTGCCTCAGTACCATGAAGTATTGGGTAACCTCCACTATATTCAGCAAACCTTGTGAACCCAAGACATGTCTTTACTCATAATTCTAAATTATGTTTCTATTTTATTCTATTTTGATGTGGAATTGTATCACCTTCTCAGACTTTTATTTGTTTTGAATTTGTCTCTTAGATGTTGTAAAATACACGACAACTGCTATGGTGACTCCAAGAAAATTGAGGAGTGTAAATTTATCTTGGACAACCCCTACATGGAGTTTTATTCCTACTCTTGTAAGGATCATAGTGTGACCTGCAACAGTAAGTAAATTATCAAGTGGGTGTATAATAAATTACATGGTCAATCTTTTTAAATCCCGATTGGCTGTATAACACACACATCTGCATGGGCTAGACCATGTGATTTTTATCAGCCACATCCACTAGTTGACCAGCCATATCCCAACTTATTATGTCAAGTCCATCCTTTAGGCCCATTGCCGCTGTAATACGCATCACTTTTTGCAAAGCATTCCATAATACTGCGTTGTTTTGTCTAATTTAGCTCACACTAAAATAGAGCATGATTGGTGCTCCAATGAAAATTGAATTTTCCTAGTCTACAAGGGATTACACTTGGGCACCACCACAATTTTCGCCTAGTCTTAATACATTTGGACAAAAAAAAAAATGTTAATTTTTTTTTTTAATTTGTCAATTAGTTAATACGTTTTGGATAAAATTCAACAATTATTTGATTTCGGAATTTAATCTGGATGAATGAAATTCTGCAATGCACGCCGCAGGTGCTTCTTGCAGTTAACTCCCTAAATTGTTACCCTTGTGGGATTGTCATATTTTAATGGGACTGTTTAGCAGATAACTCCCTTATTTGGTATTCATATGGCAACCCAACATAAGGATTAACTAGCTTTCCTTTCGGTAAGAAGTTTAAAGTTCAAAATGATGACAAACAAAACATCAATTTTATTCTTTTAGCCAGCTTTATGAAGTTTAAAAAAAAAATACTTGGTAATATTCCTATTAGGAATGTCGCAGGTATGGGCATATCTACTAAACAGCGAAAAAAACAGAGGGTTCTTACTGTCATAAAAGACTAGTAACTGGGCAGCTATTTCTTCCCAGTTGCTAATCCAATAAAGTTAAGACCTGGTACAAGTGGTGGGGCACCTAATAAATTGTCCGCCCACGAGTGGACAATTAAAATAAATGGAAGGGGGTGGTATGTGTGTTAACCCGTGACTAGTGGGTGTGGGTTCTAAATAATAAATGGAGGGTGGACCTAATAGATGCCCAGTCTTTAAGTAATGGTTAGCAGCCAATGGCAGACAAATACTAACAAACACACCAATACACATTCCAGACACTACCAGAACATACAGATTCTTTAGCCACCCTATTGTTTTCCTACTTTTCTGTTGCACAAGGGGGGTCTTCCTGGGGTGTAGTATGGAAAGTTCAGGTACTGGTTTCCAATTTCTTACCTTGTCAAGCAGAATTGTTTGTGATGGGAGGTAAAAGTATGACGTCACATCCTCCAAGCAATGCTGCAGATGGCTAAGCATGCAGTCCAGTTGGGCAACATATTCTCTCTTCAACCAGAATTGCGCCCTTGCAGACCTCCTGGGCAAGTGAGTTGCTTCCTGCCACACTCACTGTGCCCACTTGATGGCATTCCTGAATGCAAACATTGCGTCTAAGCCTTGGTTAAAAGTCTATTGATAAAAGTGGTAAATTGATTTGAAGCGAATTAGGACACAACACCAGCTTAATTCTAGTGTTTCCAAAGACCCCTGGGTCACATTGCGTTTAGAAGCAGAGAAGGGCTTAAATCAATTTCAGTGAGTTATTACGATTTTTAACCCATTTGCCTAAACTTCTCCAGAAACCAAGAAATAGATACAAATAACTAATTTTGGTTGCATATATCTCTACTTCACTCCCATCTCCTCTGTTTTATTGATTTGCCCACTTTCACCATAGCTCTCCCTTTCTCCCCACTCTTCTTTATCCAACTCCCACTAGAAAGGATGTCACAACCCCTATTCATGGCTCTCCTATAAGCACTGAGCACCCGAGCACCCATTTCTGCCATATATAATGGAATGGTTAGCAAGTAGTGGTTCAGTCTGAGAAAAACAAATGGATGTGAGGTCTGGCATATTTTATGGATCCACAGTAATAAATAATGGATGTGATTGATCAGAATATTTTTAAATCGAATAATTAGTGATTTTATTTTTACAATATCCTTTGTACTACAGACATTAATAAGTGCAATACCATTGAAAGAGTTTTATTTTTTAATGTGAACATGAGGTCTGATTCACTTCAGGAGAAGGTCTATGATGGATATTTGATAATTAGGAATAATATTGTCCAAGGAAAGTGTCTTGACGAACGTGTGTTCTCCTTCCCAATACAGGTGACAACAACAAGTGTGAGATGCATATATGTGAATGTGATCGAAAAGCTGCTCTTTGCTTCTCTAAAGCATCCTACAATGAGACCAACAAAGACCTTGACAAAGACCAGCACTGTAAATAACAGAACAGATACCTGGTATGAGAGGTCCTGGCCTAAGCATTAATATATCTATATACAGCATCTCTATATTCCTAGAATGCTGTGATACCTACTATTACATACTCATGCCGTTTTTGCCAGCCGCAGGTCTTTTTCTCTTTATGTTTTGATATGCTCAGTACCCACATATTATTAGGTGTTCCCTTTGTATTCATCCTTGATTTCTGACAATATACCTCTGAACTGTTCCCTCTACTCAGTGTATGTTTATGGGTCTTTTATCCATTTCTACAGTGTCCCCTTTGACGGTGTTTGGATGCCTTCAGTGTTTATCCCAGCAGGAGTATACTTCCCGCAACACTTTTCAAATTAAATCATTTAAAGGAGCGCTATAGTCATCTAAATTACGTTAGCTAAATAAAGCAGTTTTAGTGTATAGATCATTCCCCTGCAATTTCATTGCTCAATTCACTGTCATTTAGGAGTTAAATCACTTTGTTTCTGTTTATGCCGCCCTAGCCACACCTCCCCTGGCTATGATTGACAGAGCCTGCATGAAAAAACTGGTTTCACTTTCAAACAGATGTAATTTACCTTAAATAATTGTATCTCAATCTCTAAATTGAACTTTAATCACATACAGGAGGCTCTTGCAGGGTCTAGCAAGCTATTAACATAGCAGGGGATAAGAAAATCTTAATTAAACAGAACTTGCAATAAAGAAAGCCTAAATAGGGCTCTCTTTACAGGAAGTGTTTATGGAATGCTGTGCAAGTCACATGCAGGGAGGTGTGACTAGAGTTCATAAACAAAGGGATTTAACTCCTAAATGGCAGAGGATTGAGCAGTGAGGCTGCAGGGGCATGTTCTATACACCAAAACTGCTTCATTAAGCTAAAGTTGTTCAGGTGACTATAGTGTCCCTTTAATTATCCCAAATCTAGTAGATTGTCTGGGATGAATAATAGAACATGGTGCACTTTGTTCTCATTTTTTATTCTGGAGCAGTAAAATCTGAAGCATTTTAAAATTAAACATGCATTCTTAAAAACAGAATATAAAACTCCAAACATGTATGTATGCAGCCATTCCTTCATCCCAATCCACCATAGAGTAAAGGTGATGGTCTCGCATGTTGATGGCTTAGAATGAGCACCAGTTATATCTTGTTTCCTACATACTATTTTGTACTTCAGAATACAGATTGGTATGGCCTGGAAAATAAAACATATGGGTTGTTTGCATAATTTATTCAGTGTAATTACAGTCAGTTTCTGGAAAAACATATTTATTAAAGGAACATTCCAGGCACCGTAACAACTTTGTCTAAATAAAGTTGTTATGGTGCCAGGAGGCTCCCGGCACACTCTTACCTAAATGGATTAAACTAGTGGGACCCAAATCAGTCCTCAAGGCACCACTACCAGTCCAGGATTTAGGGATTACCCCGTTGTGTCTAAAGTGTTTTATTTATTTATTTCCTTGTAAAAACACCTTAGACACAATGGGGTAATCCCTAAATCCTGGACTGGTAGAGTTGCCTTGAAGACTGGTTTGGGAACCACTGGGTTAAACCTCAAAATTACCTTCAGCGCCGATCTCCACTTGCGGCATCCGGTTTCTAATATTTCACTTTTTAGGAAGTGCGGAGTGCTGCCGCACAGGGGTGCCACTAATTCGCTGAGAGCGGTCAGCTGTTGCTCTCAGCCAATCAGCGACTCTCCATTCACAGAACTGGTTTGGAAAGAAATGGGTTTTTTTTGTTTGTTTTTTTAAAAGCAAGTTTTGTGAATGGGGAGCCACTGACTGCTTTCAGTCAATCGGCGCCCCCGTGGCACTCTTGCTTTCCTGTCCTTAAAATGACATTTTAGAAGCAGGGTGCCACCTGGGGGGGGAGTGAATAGGGGCACTAGAGTAAACTTTAAAATATAAGTGGACGGTTTAACCCCCTTAGGTAAGAGTGCGCCTGGTGCCTCCTAGCACCAAATAAACTTAATTTAGATGACGTTGTTATGGTGACTAAACTGTCCCTTGAAGTTATCAAACGGAGCATACAAGTGGATTATAATGGGAGAAGAAAATGGATCTAGGTCATGAAACATTTTGAAGAAATACTCTAAACACATTTAAGGTCCCTCCTTTTACAGTTTTATGATGCAGCTTCCGCTTACCCCGCTGTCGATCATGGAGTCAGGAAGTTGCTCTTCCCGATTGTTTTGTTCCCCAGCACAATGCAAAAGGCAATGCTTCACATAGAAATGCACTGGCCTCTTTCTAAAACACTGCCTGCTGGCATACCATTACTTGAGATGATTTCCCAGTTAGTAGAATGAGTGGACTTGCAGTGAAGAACCCTCTCACTACTGGACTAGAAGTAATTCAATCTTTTTAGAGCAAAGGAAGGTGGCCATAAAAATTCAGCAACACTCCACTGTTACAAATAAATGTATTTATTTATAATGCTGGAGTGTTCCTTCAAGGAGAGTACACAGGAATGGGAGGTGCGGGGACATTGCAGAATTGGCTAATGAAAAAGTATGAGTAAGGGAAGAATAATCGGATAACGAAATTTGGAAGTTAGGGTTTGGTTTGCAGAGGTGATTCGTGGATGTGAATGGTTTACGTTAATCTTAAATTGGCATTATTTTGAGATTTGAAGGGGTAAATTCAGGAAATGCCTGGGAGATGTGGATTTACTTTTGTAGAGCTGAATTTATTTTCAACTGTGGGATTGATAGCAGTGATGAGAGATGCAGGTAGGAATTATGTACTGCAAGCCATGACTACTGGCAAAGCAGAATGGAGTATGAGATGTGATGGGAACTCACCTGCAAGTGACTGAATATCAGAAACTCTTTCTGTAAGTGAGGAAGTGTCCCACTGAACGTCCTCCCTGGGATCTAGAGAAAGAAAAAACATTTACTGTTGGTTCCTAATACTGCTCGTGGTAGGAGTCTCCCGTGCTACAGTAATGGCCATTGTTGGTCTCTTCTTACCAGAAGTGAATCACACCCTTTGGTTACGCAAGTCCTGAAAAGAGAATACAATGAGAGCTGTTAGCTGACCGGAAACTGAATGGAAACCATAAAAGCAGACTCGCCTGCACACAGTAATAAATCACAATACTGAATGACTAAAGGAAAATTGTTATGCGGTGGGCGTTGTGTACCTGCTCGCTTGCTTGTGGTGCACGACTTCTATCCTCCCAATATAAACATCTGCGACTAGCATCTGGTAATGCTGGGAAGAGATAATGAGAGGCAGTTACAGCAGGGAGATGATGTGCACAAACAACAAAGATACACCTTCCCAGGATCTAATAGCAGATCAATGAAAAAGAATCTCAGCAAAGTTAACCCCTTAAGGACACATGACATGTGTGACGTGTCATGATTCCCTTTTATTCCAGAAGTTTGGTCCTTAAGGGGTTAAAGGGAACCGGTCATGTCCATAGTGACTTCATCTTTTTAAAGAGCTTCACATTCCATCTATACAAAGGTTTAGATTGGAGAGAGAAAAAAAACATTTTAAAAGTGTTTTTCCCATTTCTCTCTGTTACTCGACAGACACTCAATACAGAGGAATTCAGAGACCAGGGGAGCAGAAGAGACCTCCCCACAGTGCATGCGCTGTGGTTGCTATGGTAACTACCTAGCCAGTGCTGCTAGTACTGTCTAGTGGGTAAAGGAACACTCCATTCAGATGCTGGTAGCGAAGCCAACATGTTGGCGTCACAGAGGAGGCAAATCAGTGACGAACTGAGGAGGAGTGTGGGTGCTACAGAAATGTAAAACACACCTCTTTAAAAAGGTCGCTATGGGGAAGCTATGGAGCTCCACTTAGGTGTTGACAGGTGTAAACAAGACTAGCAAAAGCAATCAAATCATGTTTTGTTCCTTCATTAGTTCAATCTCAAACAGAATCACAGAGCGATCAGCTAGTAAGGGACACTGGAAGCACTATAGCTGCTTCATCTCATTGCAGTAACTACAGTGTCTGGAGCAGAGTTGTACCTAGGTTATTTGGTACCTGGGGCAGTATATTCTTTCGGCAGCACTCTACGCACTCTTGCCTCCTTGTGTGTGTGCCTTCTAACCCCCTTATTCTGTTTTATTTTTATCCTTACACCTGTTGTGCCTCTTAACCCCCCTTTAACTATTGTGTGCATTTAACCCCCCTTTCTCCTCACCACCCATGTCCCTTTTACAGTGGCAGAATGAGGCTTGCCATATAAACTTCTGCCAGTCTACAGCACATGGTGTTGAGTTCGGCTGAATGTCATATCTCTGTCCCCTCCATTAAAAGTCTACATTTTATGCTGCAGTCCCCTTGGTCACCATACATAGGTAAGAAATGCTGTGAGCACCTCCATCCCAACTATCACCCAGGGCGGACCTTCCATTAGTACACTAATAGTCAGGAGTTCCCAAAAACTCATCCCCTTGTGCTGCTCGGCTAATGTGGAAACATGAGCCTGAGTAGCAATGGGTGGGTTAGTGTCTGCTGATCACTTTCAGCCTGTGACAGCACCCATTCAGGTATAAATCAGTATGGCTACAAGGAAGTGCGTAATCTGTTTCCCAAAGCTCCTGCCACAATGGTGATGTGACTAAGTGAAAGGATCCTCATTCAGTGTTAAGCTACTCGAAAATGGTTTAACACTGAATGAAAGGACAGTGCACTATAATGGTTATAGTTCCTATAGTACCCCTTTAAGGTTCAAATATTACACTGAAATCTTAGTTATGTAATTTAAATTGAGGATTTTTAAAATAACGTTGCTAGTTTTACCTGCAAAGAATTTCTGGCAGCTACAGGACTTGCTGTGAAATATAATCCTGCTCCGTACTCTCCCAGGTGGAAATCTATAGAGAAGAAGTTTTAGGAATAAAGTTAAGGTGTATACTCAGATACCAAATTAGCTGAATTATCCTTGTTACTATGACAACAAGCGTTCAGCAAGGTGCAGCTGAGGACATCTTGAAAATCCAAAAACTTAGTGTGGATCTGTGTTAAAACTAATAAAATATTGGTACAATGTGCAATACAGAACAGCAGCTAGCAGAGACAGACATTTGTGAGACTGTTCTAATCAGAACAGCAATGTATTGTCAAAACCAACACTCTATTATGCCATTTAAAGGGACACCGTAGGCACTGTATCTGCTTCATCTCATTAAACTGGTTAGTGTCTGGAGTCCTCTGGTACCATCATTTCTTTCAGCATTAAACCGTTTTTAAACTTTAAATTTTTAATGCTAAACAAGAGTCCCCAGCAATCCATCCCCTCTGTGCTGCTTTGGCTAATAAGGAAGTATTAGCCAGAGCAGCAATAGGCAGCTGTGATTTGGCTGAGAGTGTCAGCTGACTGGTTTTAAGCCTGTCAGAGTTCCAACTGACGGTATGAATGGGTATGACAACAAGGAAGTGTGTAATCTCTGCCTTAGCTACACATACTGAAGGGGCCGGACTGTGGGTGGCCAAGGACTCTTATTTTGTGGCATACTGCACGAACATGGTACAACACTGAATGGAGGGACAGTGCCAGGGCACTTCAGGCACTAAAACCAATTCAAAAAGATGAAATGCTTATAGTGACTACAGTGTCCCTTTAATGACCACACTGTATTCTGTATGGTTGTTTTTGAGTTTCTGCCAATGAAGCCGCTACACCTCAAACCACAGGAACTGACCAGACAGTGCATAGAGATTAAATAAAACACTTACTGTCTAGTTTTACATGCTGATTTCCCATAGCAATAACCTGCTTTATTGTGCTCTTTTACGTAAGCTGAAAATGAAGTATCTGTATAAACGGAAGTGTATTATATAAAACGAACCTTCCGTTGAAAAGACGGTGTGCAGAATCTCCTCCAGCCTAGCAGGGCTCTGATTAACTCCACAATAATACAACTGCTGGTGTACATTCAGAGCAACTGGATCTGAAACATGTGCTTTGTTCATTTGGATGTGGTCCTTCGAGAGAGTGGCCTGCCAAAATATGCATCAATAAACCCATAAATAATAAAGCTCAACTGTAATAAAGGAAGATGATAATCGGTTATATATATATATATATACACATACCTTTATTTAAAAAGGGGAAAAAAAATGAACCAAAAGCATTTCATATTATAGCACTAAATATAATTCCTAAGCATTTTCACTATTTTAGTTTGAGTAAACATTATTATTATTCTTTATCAAGCGACCAACACGTTCCGTAGCGTATGTAACCAGATGAGTTGAACGCACAGGAACAGAGGGATGCTCAATGAGCTTACATGCTAGAGGGAGTGGGGTAATGTGACACAAAAGGTAAGAGTTGGGTGAAAAAGTAGGTTGCTAGTGTTCATTGAAGGCTTAGTGTTTTGTTTTGATGACCGTTTCAGGAGCGGAATCAGGGTGTGGGAGAGAAAGCTGTTCACAGTTTAATTGATATGCTTTCCTAAAGAAGTAAGTTTTCAAAGATTTTTTGAAGGAGTGGAGATTGGGTGAAAGCCTAACAGAGAGGGGAAGAGCATTCCATAGGAACAGTGCAGCCCTAGAGAAGTCTTTAAGGTGAGCATCAGAGGTAGGAATATGAACCAAGGTTAGACGTAGGTCTCCTGCAGAGCGTAGGGGACTAGATGGGACATATTTGTGTATTAGTGAGGATAAGTAGGTCAGAGCAGCAATGTGTGGGACTGACAAAGGGGGGAGGCGTGGGAGG